CACACCCTGTGTCCGTCTCTGAACTGAGGCTGGGTATGACAGTGTGTGTTGGGGAAATGGCAGAGGCATGGCTGGGGTAGCAATGCCAGCTGGATGGGAGGAGGGGTGGAGAGGCTAATAGAAAAGGCCTGGGAAAATGGGGGAGCATGATAATATGGAAAAACCTCACATCCTCTGCAGCCCTCTGTTCCTCTTCCCCCAAGGTGTAGCTGGGACCAGAAAGACGTTCCCCACCTTCAATCACATCTTCCAGTCTCTGACTCATGGCTGCCCACCCTATCTCCACCCTCATGTGCTTTCCTGTCTAGCCAGGTGCTTTGACGGTGCCAGGGTGCACGGGTGAGTCCCCGCTCAGCATGGGGAACGGAACCTTGTCTCCATGCTGCGTCCTTCCCATGTGCACAGGATCGGGGCTCTCCAGATGCTTGGAGCTTTGTCCGCCCCATCACCTTCTCCAAGAGCATCAATGACTGGGAGAGATGACATCTGAAGCTATAAGATCAAAATGAGAGCTCAGACTGGGGACATGTTTCGTGCCAACCCACTGAAAAGGTCAGTGAAAAATGGAGCCTTTTCTTCAAATGTTTCCCAGGCTTTCGTGGTCAGAAGGGCTCATTTCTCTCAATACCCTTCAGCAACCGTATTCGATGTGTTGAATACTCTTCGGAGTCTTTCGAAAAGTTCTGCATGATGGTGGCCTTATTGAGGGACCCATGTGGTGGGTAATGTCTGACTTTTCCAGGTGGGGATTTTCCAAGGGAAAGGTTGGGTTTGAGAAGGGAAACTCAGAGCCCTTAGCTGGCCATTGGCGATTTCTCATGAATGATGGTACTTGTGTGTGGATGACAAGGAAGTTTTCTAAAGGGGTAGGCAGGAGGAGATAACCTCTAGCTGTAAGCAGAAGCCAGATAATCAGCCTGGGGATAAAGATATACCTTTATAACCCTGAATGTAATTAATAACGGGCCCAAGCAACCAACAGGTGCGGTAGATCACACCTGACAATTTTTCAGATGAGGCAGAAGGCATGTCTAAAAGAGCTGTGCTAGAAAGGAAAGGAGGGCTCTAGAGTTGGCTTTCAGACTTTCCAGGTGAGCCTACCTCTTTCAGGAGTGCCATTTCTCTTGCCTTCTCCTCAAGTTTTACCTTATTTAAATACTACTTGCATAGGTAAAAAATACAAACATGCCACACGTGCCAGCACTGACAAATTGATGAAGTTCTCATTTTTACCAGATAATTATAAAATCAATCAGGTGGAATAGAAGCCTCATGCTTGCATTTCAGAGGCTTGTGCGTACAGCAGCATAAACAAGGTGCTGTATGAAATGTTAGTTTGCACTGACTTCTGAAGGGCTTTTCATGGAGCCTGGTATAAAACCAGGCCAGTATCTAGATGGGCTGATGTACCCCCTGCAAGATCTCTGTGCATTCCCGGAGGGGTACCTCCCGGTTGAAGGGCTAGAGTCTATGAATCTATGAGAGAAGGTTTCAATAGACCAGATGGAAAAATGCACTCGACAAGAACAGACTCACAACCCAGCAGTGCCATGGGGCATCTCTGTGGGGACATGAAGGCAAATTCTGCTTATGCAAAGCAACGCAAGTCCCCAGCCTTTTGTAGCTATGCCCTGCTTATAGACCTGTCATTGTCATCTGTAATGAACTTCATAAGTCTGAAGGATAGACTCTGAGCAAAGCCCTAGGGTGATCGCCGGGAAGCTTCGTAACATGCGTTCTTTGCTTTAAGATATTTTTCCTGATTTCACGTTACAAGAAGAATCACAGAAATGTAGGGCTGGAAGGGCTCTCGTGGAATGAGGTGTACAGCCTAATCCGAACTAGCTAGTCCGTGCCGCGTGTAGCCGTGCGGCACGGGGTCCGACCTAGCCGGCATTTAAAAATGGCGCCGGCCAGCTTCATGCAAATGAAGCCCGGGAAATTCAAATCCCGGGCTTCATTTGCAACTCCGTATGACTACGTTACCCCCCTAGTTCGAACTAGGGGGGTAGTATAGACATACCCTAGCTCCTGGAAAGAAAACATGACCCCCATGAGAACTCAAAGATGCTTTTCTTATGGTTTTGGCTTACAGTGTTAGGGTTTTGCTGCTCTCAAACAGAGGAAAACATTGGAATTTTTAAAGGCAAAACTTTTAAAGGATATTTCCCATGTTGTTGAAAAAATAAATAATTTCCCACCTGAAGACAGGGATGCAGGGACCCATCTGGATGGGAAATTTCTGACTTTTCCAGGTGGGAATTTTCCAAAGGAAAGGTTGGCTTCAAGAAGGCAAACTCAGAGCCCTTAGCTGGCCATCTGTCCCAGCAATATTCCTTTCTGATGCTCAGAGTGAGAGATTTTATTTAACCGTAAAGTGCTATGATTAAAAGTTCTATCCTTTTTATATTTGCATTTTAGGTTTAATGATGTAAGCAATGTAGCAATGTAGTTTAATGATGTAGCAATAATATAGTAATGTAAGGTGTATATTAACAGACATTTAATATTTTATCAACTTAAAATTCTCTTAGTTAAATGTATATTTCTTTGCTGAAGTTTGGTAAGTTTAGTAATTGGCCTAACTAGAGAGAGTTAGAGCTTTGGTATTGCCTTAATTGCTTGATTTACAATGCCTTTTTGCTTTGCCAGTGCAGATACTGATGTTGTGCTGCATAAACTCGAGAGTCCTTGTAACATTGCTTATGTGTGTGAAAGGGGTATGAATGTGTCGAGATAAGGTATAAAAGTTATTGCTCAGAACCAGACGGCCAAAGAAGGAGGGTGAGCGGGGGTGAAGAGTAGACGACCTGGCTTCAAAAAAGCCATCTATAACCACCACTGTGTACCCATAATAAGGAGTGATTGGATTATTGGCAGATTGATGGGCCTTGGAGCTGAGCTGGCACCCCCAAAAGACGATTGATTACAGGATGAGCTTTCAAGATGTTTTGGGAACAAGAGATAACACAGCAGAATCCATTGATTTCAACAGAGAAAAGGATTATAAAAGCAGGGTGCTTTGCTATGGAACTTTGGGTTCGTCTTGCCACCAACTCCAGAGGAGCACTGGGTCGAACGACCGACAAAGGCCCTGCTCTCCCTCTGTGTTCAATCTAGCTGGCCACTAGATTGATACAGAATCTGGACTGGTAACTATGACATTGTCTGGCGGGACTGTGTATGCATGGTGATTGTGTGTGTGAGTGACTGAAAAGCATATGCAACTGTTGTATTCTCAATAAATGCAGCATACCGCCTTTTCTCCCAAAACAGATCTCGTGTGCTTCGTTTAACCATAACAGAAGAATGAGGTTTAATATCCCTTCTGCAGTGTTTAGTAAATCTGAGCGAGTCTAACTCTGGCTCTTCCTTTTACCTATGGAAATGTCCAGTCCCTCTTTGAATCTTACTAGGTTTTAGCCTCAGTGCCATCTTGAGTTCCACAGTCTCCAGAAAGGGAAGACTGAATCCCTGGAGCATTTTTCTCAATCCAATTGTCGCTGTGTTAAGTTCCCTCTTATGCTTTAACTAACCCTAATCTTTCCTTTCACTCTTCACAGGAGATTTTTCCTAGCGCCTGACCTGCATTCCTTCTGTACTGCTGAGGTGGGGTTGCCCAAGGCTACAGGAAGGATCCAGATGTGGGCAAAGGCTGTGGGCATGTTTTTAAACTGGTACCCTTTTCACGGCTTGATGATGAATTAAGCACACTGAGCCCCTCTCAGGTAGGTTTTCTGGACGTACTGTGTAGCCATGGCGCCTGCCTGGAGATACGCAGCACTTGTTACGCTGTGACTCTCAGGATCTTTACCCTGTTCTTGTGGAATCTCAGTACAGCATCACAATGGAGAATACCCAGCAATTCAACCCAGTGAAAGTGCTGTATCAAAGACTAATGCTCTGGGCTGTGTTAACAGGAGCCCCATGGGTCAGATTCGGGATGTACCTGTCCCGCTTTGCTTTGCACTAGTGAGGTCTCAGCTGTAGCCCTGTATCCAGTTCTGGGGGCCGCACTTCTAGAAAGATGGGGTCATGCTGGAGAGAGTCCAGAGGAGAGCAACAGGCATGGGGAAAGGGTTAGAAAACCTGACCCAGAAGACATGGTTTAAAACACAGGGCAGGGCTAGTCCTGAGAAAAGAACAATCTGCACATTAGTTTCGAGCTGCTATAACAAGGACTGGGCTCAATTGTTCCCCGGGTCCATCTGCAGCAAGAGAGGGTTAGGTCAGAGGTTAGGAAAAACTTTCTAATTCGGATGCTAGTTGAACTCTGGAGCCAGGTTCCAGTGGAGGTTGTGGGATGTCTAGTGAATGGAGGTTTCGAAGGAGAGGCTGGACAAACAGCTGTTGAGGATGGTCCTGCCACTGTGCCATGGGTGGGAGTGGATGACGTCTCGAGAATCATAGAGATCAATGGTCTCTTCCACCAAAGACCTGCCCCATTCAGGTTGCTTCCTGTCCCATACGATTTGGAAACTCCTTCTGGATGGGTGGAGGGTTCCAAGTTCAGGGAGAACATTTTCTCAGCTATAAAGCAGAACTGATGTATTGTCTTATAACACGGAATGCCAACATTGTAAGAGACATTAATGTAGGCTAAGTGCATTCCTCCGAGATTTATCCCTGTTTTGAAGAAAACTGCCCTACAGATGAGCTACTCTGACCTCCAGCTATGAGTTTGTTAGTTCTTCACTTTGGCTGCAGTCCTGGCAATAACGGATGCTTGGTTTAAGTATAAAGCTTTAATATGGTAGATTAAGGATTACTCAGGGCAGGGTTTGGAGGCAGAAGCTAGACAAATACAGAGGAGACAGAAGGCATAATTTTTTACCAGTGAAGGCCAGTAAACACTACCAGAAATGAGTGAGGGTTGGAAGGAGTCTCTAACGTGGGACAGATTTAAATCAATATCCACAGAACGCTGGCATCAGTATGTTACATCACTGCCGACACTTTTCTCTTCCCCACTCAGGTGCTGCTGCAGACCCTTGCCATGGATGAGGCCAACTGGACGTCCATCTCTGAGTTCGTGTTCTCGGGTGTGTCTGACCGCCAGGAACTGCAGCCCCAGCATAGTTGGCAACTTCATGCTGCTGGTGCTGATGTGGACCAACCCCCAGCTCCGCACCCCCATGTATTTCCTCCTCAGCCAGCTGGCCATAGTGGACATGGGCACAGTCTCTGTCATCCTGCCGGAGGCCCTGGTGCACGTCCTGAACAAACACAGGGCCATCTCTTTCACCAACTGCATGGTTCAGCTCTTCATCTGGCTGTCTATGGGAAACATGGGGAGCTACCTGCTGGCTGCCATGGCCTACGACCGCTACGTGGCTGTATGCAAACCGCTGCGCTATGCCACTGTGGTGACTCAGTCTCTGTGCCTCAAGATGGTGGCTGGCTCCTGGGTCGTTGTGCTTCTTCATGCTCTGCTGGCACTCGGCCCATCACCATCGAGCTGGTGATCTACACAGAGGGTGTCCTGGTGATGATGACCCCTTTTGCCTTCATTGTGGCCTCCTACATCCGTATCGGGTTGGCTGTGGCCCGCCTGCGCTCTGCCCAAGGCCTGCGCAAGGCCCTTGTCACCTGCAGCTCCCACCTGACTGTGCTGATACTTTTCTATTCCACTGCTCCTTCCCCCTACATCTACCCAGACTCCAGTGACACCAAGGAGAAGGACCGGGTGGCCGCCGTCTTCTACACCGCTGTGGCGCCTGCCCTGAATCCCCTCATCTACAGCCTGAGGAACAAGGATGTTGCTGCGGCCCTGAGGAGAACAGGGAGGAAGATCCTGGCTTGGGGTCAATGAGACTAGACTGTGGCTTCCGTACGTCTACTCAGACTCCAGTGACACCAAGGAGAACGAACGGGTGGCGGCCGTCTTCTACACCGCTGTGGCGCCTGCCCTGAATCCCCTCATCTACAGCCTGAGGAACAAGGATGTTGCTGCGATCTTGGCTTGGGGCAAATAAGCCCAGCTTGTGGCTCTATTGCTGCAGAGACAGTTTTGCACTCATTGCTCCTTTGGGCATGGACTTTGCTCCGAAGAGGTACCCGGGGAACCTTCCCACTTAGCTCTTCTAGGTTCTTTTCTCCTCAGAGATGAGGCTGGTGAAACTAACACATGTGCAGAGCAGCAGGGACACCCACAACTACACACACCTGAGCCTTTTCTTATAATGGGGATAAATTAAAACATGTTTTTAAGGGCATGGTCATGCCGGATCAGCCCGAAGGCCTGTTTCAGTAATTTACATAGAATATCTGTGTGTAAAGCATCTAAGGTGTGAATAAAAGAACGATCAGACCAAAGGTTCACCTAGCCCAGCATCCTGTCTGCCAACAGTGGCTAGTACCAAGTACTTCAGAGGGAATGAACAGAAGATTGAATCATCAAGTGATGCATCCCCTGCCACCCATTCCCAGCTTCCTGCCCATCCTAGCTAACGGTCACTGAGAGACCTGTCCTCCAGGAACTTATCTAGTTATTGTTTGTTTCCCGTTATAATCTTGGCCTTGACAACATCCTCCGGCAAGCAGTTCCACAGGGTTGGCTGTGAGCTGTCTGAAAAAGATACTTCATTTTAAACCTACTACCTGTTAACTTCATTTTGTGACCCCGTAGTTCGTGTTGTGAGAAGTAAAGAAACCTTCTTTATTGACTTCTTCCACACTAGTCATGTGTTGATAAATGTCTCTCTTCTCCCCTAAATTGTCTCTTTTCCAAGCTGAAAGGTCACAGTCTTCACTTCATATGGAAGCTGTTCCATACCTCTAGTCATTTTTGTTTCCCTTTTATTTACCTTTAACAATTTCAGTATTTCATCCTTGGGATGGGGTGACCACACCTGCATACCGTATTGAAGAGGTGGCATACCATTGATTTAAAAAGAGGCAACATGATATTTTCTCTCATATTGCTCTATTGACAAAGGGGATTTTGGGTCTTAGGATGCTTTTGATGGACTCCCCAGTGGAGCAGAGCACAATTCGCACAGCTTTTTCAGACAGAAAGGGTCACGGTAGACCTAGCCTGATTGTATCTTTGGTTCAGTTTTGAATGTAATGTCATGGGCTCTCCCCTTGTTGCAACAGGGAGGACAGAATCCTCCAAGCTCTTTTCTCTGTCCCATTTCTATCACATCACAGTCCCTCTTATGCTTTATGCACCACTCAGCTCTCTATCCTCGCTGCACAGATTTTTGTGGAGTCCATTCAAGGGGGAGGGAATTGTCCCCTTCTGCCTGGTTGATTGGAGACATAACACGGTTCTCAGCCTTGCCACATCCCTAACCTAGCACAAATGTGACAGCTTAGGCTGTGGTAGCCCTCTGGTAGGTCTCACTCAAGGCTCCATGTGTCCAGGACAAACATGATCACCTACTGGGGGAAGGTTAGTGAAGCAAGGCAAAGCCTTTCAGAAAGCCCTTGGAGAGCAATCCCACTCTGCCACCACACTCCTACGTGGGCAGTGTGTAATAGCATTTTGTTGAGTTGAGTAATTTTGGGAGCATGCTGTGTATTTTCTAACTATATATTTTAGATATGTGCACCTGTCTGTCTGTCTATAGCGCTGTACTTTGTGACTTTGACAATTTGTGCTTTAATGGCTACTAGGCTATCGCCTTTTGTATCACAATCTCGAGGGTCATTAAAAAATGTCTCTCCGACTCTTCCATAATTTCTTGCAACTGTGAAAGTGTAAATAAATGAAACAATTAAAAAATGCGCAAACCCCCAAATTATTGCAAGAGAGTGAAAATGCGATGGGACTTAGAAGATTTTTAAATGATCTCCCATGGCTTTGTCTATGCAGTAATATGAATAGAGAGAGGCTAGTTCTGGGGGCCAGAGAATGGGATGGGACCTTTCCCTTTCGGGGGGGAAATTGGCTCTGCTTTGGCCCCAGAGCAGGGACTGGCTGGCTCAGGGAGGCGGGACATGAGCCACAGCTTAGAGACGTCATGGGGTGAATGTCTGGTTAATTACCGCAAACTTCCACCCCAATCCGTCAACCAGTTGGAGGACAGTCCTAGGGGCAGAATTGGCAGGGGGCAGGCTTCCTTTCAGGGCACAGAGGCAGACCCAATTATCTGGCAGGGGGACGGGCCACTGCAGGGACAACAGAAGGCCCTCCCCTCTGGAGTATAGATCCACTCCTTCATGAAGAGGGATAGAGAGAACCCATGAGTCCCGGCTCCCAGCCCATCCCTGCTCTAACCCGCTATCCCCCTTTCTCCTCTCAGTTCTGTGGACAGAACTCAGGAGTCCTGCCTCTCAGCCCTTTAACCCACCAGCTCCCACAGACCCAGCTAGATCCCAGAAGTCCCACCCCTCACAAGTCTCCTGCTTAACCACTGGGTATTAACCCCACCCCTAGGCAATGGGGCTCTATTTAGATGTTTTCAGGGTCCCTCCAAGACCAGAGAAATCATCCTCTAACCTCAGTGAAAACCAGGCTTGCAGAGGGGAGTGGAGTGTGGGGGGGTCACTGGGCTGGTGAGAAACACTCTTGATCCCTCAGCTCCCATTGCCCTGGTGATCCAGAGCCAACGGGAGCTGCAAATACCCAGACCCATGCAGGCTCAGATAAATATAGAGACAGTGGCCTGCCAAGGGCTAACCCTGAGGACAGGGGGGGTCCCAAGAAGCACAGGTGCCCAGCCTCAGAAGTACCAGGGATGGTGTCACCCTCACTCAGTGCAAGGTTGAAATGGCCGACACCCCCAGTACCGCCTTGAGGCCAAGCGCTTGGCAAGAGGGCAGAAGGTGCGTGGCTGGCCCTGCTCGAACACTGGTTACTGGGAGCATTTGCAGGGCCGAGGGGAGCTGTGGCCCAGTATCCGTCCCTCTGCAGGCCCCTGATTTCCTATGTAATTAACTGCCTGTGTCTGAGTCCCTGCGGGCAGGTGCCGGGAGTAATGAGCAAGCCCAGACGCTCCTCTCACTGCAGGACCTGGAGAGCTTAGTGGGGACTGATTCAGGTAGCAGCCCTGAGAGTCAGGGCTGGGAGGACTCAGAGAAAGGGGCCATAAAAGCCCCGATGCTGCCCAGATGGAAAGCAGCACTGAGAGAGACACAGACCCTGCTGCTTCCCGGGTAGGGTGGGTTCCATGGAGAAGAGACAGGACATGGGATTATCCTGATTAGGAACATCCCCTTTGCACAGATTCATTACCTTCAAGCTGCCTGAGCCCATCTCTGCTCAGTGAGGGTATGTCTACACTACAGCGCTAATTCAAACTAACTTAATTCGAATTAGTTAATTCGACGTCTCTAGACCTAAAAACTAATTCAAATTACCGTTTTGCTAATTCAAAATAGCATGCCCACATTGAGTGGACCCTGAACCAAGGTTAAGGATGGCCGGAAGCAGTGCCGGCAGGGCATCAGGTTAGGACTTAGAGTGTGGAGGTACTGCCGAGGGCTAGTGCCGAGGGCTAGCCGAGGGCTGTGCTTAAAGGGACCCAACCCCCACCCCGGACAGACAGTTCTCAGGGTTCCCCGCTTGCTTGTCTACCTCGATGAGGGACAGCAAAGTGGCCCTATCTTGGAGTGCCCACACTCGGCACATCACAGCACTCGGCCATCAGCCAGACTGCACTTGCTGCAGGCTTCCATCCGGGGGGGCTGTCAGGATCAAGGAGGCCCTGCAGGAGAGCTTCCACCCCGAGGAGCCCGCAGAGCCACCCCAGTCCTCCCCATTGGGGGCTCGTACCCCATTCCTCCCTCACCTCCTTCCACTTACCCCTCCCAAGCCCCCTTTCCTGATGTAAAAAATGAAGGACACGTGTGTTCAAAAATAGAAACTCTCTTTATTTAACAAAACTGGGGGGGGGGATTAACATCTGGGGAGACTGGGAAAAGGAGGTGGGAGAGGGGAAGAGAGAGGACGGAAGAGGGGAGGGAGGGAAACCTAGGGGGAGGGAGCTGGAAGGGGGAAGCCAGGGGAAGAAGGAGGAGGGGAAGTATCAAACTATGGGATGCCATATCTTCAGTACTGTGTACAGATGTGGTCTCCTCACCTCA